TTCACTACCTTATAACAAACAAATTAATTTCACCTCTTCTCTCCATTAAATTTAAACAACTTTGTATATTTGGTTTTCATGCAAATTAAATCCCTAAACTAACCCTGGATTCTTTTTTATGTTCCCATAATAATAATAATTATTATTATTATATTTATTATTGTTTTCTTGAAAAAACAAATTCTCCAAAATTTATAACATTTTAATTAATTGAATTATATTAATACTAAGATGTTAATAAACGTAAATTCATCTAAAATACAATTTCGTTCAAATTAAATCATATAATATGAATGTAGAATGATCGAGAGACATGTTTATCGAGAACGTGTTATAAAGAAAATATATATTACGACAAAAATTTTAAAGTCTCTAAATTTTAGACTTTTTGTTTAATTTATATATATAGCTCCAAGTTGGTGATTTTTGGTAAGTAAGACTGTCAATGTGAGATGAACTAAAATTCGTGATACCGTGCCTAATCACGTGCTAATCTAGATCCCACAAAGGGGGTTGGTCGATTAACACAACAGGACGGTGTTTCATAAAATCTGTTAAGGAGTGTGTAACAATTCACCTACCGAATCAAGTAGTCTCGAAAATGGATAGCATTAAAACCCACGGCATATACTTAATCGTCGGGGCAATGCTAGGCCCCGATGGATATGACAGCGCAGTAATTCTTAAACGTTATCTAATAAATCAAGTCTTTCAAAAAAAATACAAAAAAATAATTTAAAATTGAACACATTTAATTATCCACGCATTAAATTTATAACTATGTTATGGGAAAAGAAAATTAGAAAGAGATGGAAAATGGAATCAGAGTGGATGACAGGCTGTCATTCTGATAGGGGGTTAGTGTGGGGCCCAGACAAGGAGATGAATCACAACCATTGATTCATAAATCAACGGTGGAGCCCACTCGTGATTCATAACATCAATCAACGGTAGACAATAAGAATAACGGACAGACTTTCCTTTGGTCGGTGCTACGTGTTGCGCCTCGTTATAAGGTCATTTTCGTCATTGTACCCACAAAACGTGGAAACAAGGGCAATGAATGAATAAAATAAAATCAAAATTAAATTAATAAATATATTTATCATTATTTATTTTTTAATTGAGATATAAATTCATAGAATTTGATACGAGAAAATTGAAAAATAAAATTGGTAGATATTGAATTAAAGATTGATTGAGACTACATTATATCAAATTTTCAAAGCATTAATAAAAATCGGTTGTTTGTTACATAATAAGGTCGAGACCGACATCGATAAATTATAATTTTTATGTAAAAAATATTCGGCTAAATTAATTACAAATATTCATAAATTTTATATTTTTTTCTTAAAATTATCATTATACTTTCAAAAAATTTAATAATATTTAAAATTGTTAACGTTCCTTTTACCTTCGAAAATTTTATAAATAACTTTTAAACTTTTTTTAAAATATCAAAAATATATTTATATCGAGTTTAAAAATGTCAATAATACAGACCGAAATCGTTTATGTACACTTTATAAATAAATTGTAATAAATACACGTCACATTATAGCTATGACTGTATATCAATCACACACATTTCTAAATTAATAAACATAATTTTTATATAAATGTTTTTGTGATATAAATATCTAAATATCTTTTTTTCGGATTCCATCACGCTCTTTCATAATTAAAACAACCACGAGACTTGCTCAATTTAATAAAGTATAGCCTTAAATTGTCGAAGGAGATACAATTACTTTGACTATTTAATCAAAGATCGATAATTTGATTCTGACCTGTAATTATTTTAATTTTAAAAAAATCTTGGAAATTTGTATTTTTATTTATATTTTAAAATTGCAATATTACCATCCATGAAAAGCTGAGGTGGATGCCAGCTCAGCTCGCAGAAATATATTAATGAGGTTAAAACTTCAAACTTAAATTTAATTCTTTTAATTAAGTAATTATAGGAAAAATAAAATCTGTGGCTCTATAAAATTGTATGGCCAAAAGAGGCAGGGAAATGAGTGTGGTTCGTGGTGGTTCGTGGTGGTTCGTGGCGGTTCGTGGACGGTCGCTCCAGTGGTCCACGGTCGGTGGGCAATTCGCCGAACCGTTGACTAAGGTTATTGCGGCTGTACGGTCTGCTGGTTGCATTTTTATTTATAAATAAATTATTTTGAAAAAGTCAAAATGGGACCTTCGACGAAACCTACAAAATCCATTCCTTTGATTCCTTAGCTGACCACAGTTTCCAACAACACACAAGCCGACTCATTTTCTTGTTCCAATGAGTTTTTTAAATAAATAAATAATAAATATAAATTATTAATTTAAATATATATTTTTTTAATTTTTCATTTTAAGTATATGATATCATTCATGATGTAGAATAAGACCATTTTTTGATAAAATTAAGAATAAATATCCAAAATTCATGAAGGGATGAAAATGCTTCAAATATGTCTAATTTTTTTTATATATTATGTTCGGAGAGTTTTTATATTTCCTGATTTGATATTGACTGCGATGTCCCTTTACTATATGAGAACTTACCCGATATGAGTTGGGAAATCACTATTTAAACGAGACATAAGAGAGGGAGCACAAAAAATATTTGATTATTTTCTTGTTATTTAAAAAGGGATTGGAATGAAGATTATATTCTCCCTCTCTGTCTTTGACTTGACCTTACCAAATTTCATAAGGATGAGAATTGAAATAAGAGACAAGGACGGGAATAAAGAAGGATTCTCCATCCCTACCTTGTCCTCTTTTATACCCGAGCTAACTTTTAGTTTAGCTAAAATATTGGATTAGAAAACACCCGATTAAGTTATGAGGCGTACTAAAAACGTATAAAAAGAGGCAAAAATAGAATTTGAGAGTAATATTTGGTGTGGTTGTGATTATTATTTAAAATAATGTTAATTTATTTGGTTAAAGTTGAATGGGTAATGAATGGTGAATATTAAGATTGACAAACCAATGTGTAAGCAATCCGTCAAACATTGAATGGTCATTTCTGCAACATTCAATTCTTAATTACGTTCAAACCCAAGAATATTTTCCTTTCAAATTTTCCCTTTTTGGGTCAAATATTAAATTACACCCAAATATTCTATTCTTCCTTACTTTAAAAATTTACGTGAATTATCATTAATTTTTAAGGCAAATAATCAGGCGGTTTTTCATTCAACTATTTTTTGAACTTTTTAAAGTAAAAATTTAAAGGTGATAGATATTTTTATTAATTTAATATTAAAAATAATATTGGTTTGAATAGACAATTAGAACCAAAGTCTTAATTATGAAAAGTCAAAGCTTAGAAAACTCGATCAAATATTATTACGGCAGAGTTTGTGATTCAAGGATAATTTGTTTTTTTTATTTGAAATTTAAAAAAAAAAAAAGATAGAATGAATTTTACTAAATATTATTTTTGGGGGGTTTGTGGAAATTACCAGTCCGTCCCTAAAGGTGGCTATTGTCGATCAAAATTGGACACGTAATTCGGCTGCCTAACAGGCGGCATTTTATGTCAAAAATACGTAATGGTATTTAAAATTTGGGGAACCTTTTTTTATAAAAGAAAATAACTTTTTGACAAATGTTTATTTAAAAATGTTTGACTACTGAGTTTGAAAGTGTATACTCTATATTTAATCACTAATTTTTTTTATTTAAATATATTTTTTTATAAAAAAAAAATTAATAATGTAAAACGTGTTTAAAGATTGGATTAAATTAAAGTTATTTATAAAAAAATATTCTAAAAAATAAAAATAACTTTATATGTAATTTTACAAAGCATGTAAACTCAAGCATTTAATATTTTTTGAAGGAAGTTTTAAAACTTATTACACTACAAACTACTATAATGTTGTAATAGTAATTTTGAGAATTAAAAAAATTAAAGATTATAGGTTGAATATTATAATTATGAAATATTAATTATAGTTAATCTCTATAAAATAAATGAAAAAAAATTTAAATATTAAGATTGAATTCGGTGGATAAAGAAAGATAATTAACATAAAGCAAGTCATTAATAACCTTCTAAAAAAAATGTAACAAAAAGTCTTTGCACGTTAATAATTTTTTTTAGAGCATTGAATAAATTTAAATTTTGATTAAATTAATAACAATATTCATAAATTTCATATTTGGTTTAGAAAAATATTGTTTTAATAATATTTTTAAAATTTAAAAAAATATTAAAAATACTACTACAATTAATTAAAATTTAAAATTTCATTAATACCTTCCAATTAAAAAAATTAAAAAAATATAAAAAATATATAAATTAGCATTAACATCTATTATTTTTTATCAACCATATATAGATAAAAACAATCTATTATTTTTTATGTTATTTTTAAAAATTCATGAATATTTTTTAATTTTTTTTTTTTTTGAAATTCTTCAAATAATGAAGTAAAATAAGATAAAAAGTATTAACGAAACTTTTGAACAATCACGGACATCTTTTAAACTCTTTTGAAAGTTCAAATATATTTTAAAAATGAAAAGTTATTTTTATTAATTTTGTTTTAAAAAAAATGATAATATTATAAAGTAATAAAAAAAAGAAAGAAAATAATATAAATATAGAAGTTTATGGGAGGAGAAGAGTGGGCATTTTGGAAAAGGGGGAGAAAATAGACAACCCCAGTTTCTGTCGGGTTTCCTACGGCTTCCCTGTTTATAGTTTTTACTCGTCGTTTTGACTGGGCGGTGGGCGGAGGACGGAGGGCGGAGGAGAAGCCTGCAGCCCCACTCATTTTGAAATCTCCAAATTCAAACATGTTTTCTTTTCAAATCCACTTCGATTTTCTCTAATTATTTATTTTACTTTTGCTAATCCATCCACTCCTAATTACCAACAATAATCCGAAACTATATTATATATATATATATATATATATTGTAAAACGTGTGGACGGTGAGTTTCATGAAAGAAAGAAAAACTGCTCTTTCTCTCTCTTTGGCTTTGGCATTTTCCTCTCTCTAGGTTGTATAAAAAGGAGGTCCCCTGGTGAGGCAAAATAATAAGAATCTCCTCTCCTAACCATTCTCTCTCAAACCTCCATTTTCCCTTCTCTGCTAAGAGACGAACCAACTTCCCATTTCCCAAGCACTAAGAAAGAGATACAGAGAGAGAGAGAGACAGAAACAAAAATAAGGTCCTGTTTGGCTGTTTGAGAGGGACAAACGGGATGGCGCTGGCTAATGAAATTCTTGCTTCATCTTTTCTTCACAAATCACCGTTGGTTTCTCAGTCTAAGTTGTTTCAAACTACTCTTAGTTCTGCGAATCAGTTCATGCCAATTTGGGGTTTTCCAGACAAGAAAAGGAAGGTGGTGCTGGTAAGGAAGGCTGTGAATGGTCCAGTGGCTGCAATTAGTGAGGATTTGGATTTGGGTTTGGGTTTGGGTTTGGATTTGGTTAAGCCTGTGCCCTTGGTCGAGAAGCCTGTCGAGTTCAAGGTTAGAGCTGTGGTGACTATCAGAAACAAGAACAAGGAAGACTTTAAGGAGACCATTTTTAAGCATTTGGATGCTTTCACGGATAGGATTGGCCAAAACGTTGTTCTTCAACTTATCAGCACTGAGATTGACCCAAGTGAGTCGTTTTCTCCTCCCCCCTCTCTCTGTTTTTGTTCTTCTCTTTCTGGGTGTTCTATGTTCATGTGTTTTTCGTTGTTTTTGTGAGATTTTTTTTTGCCATACAATTTCCTCTGAATCTTAAAGAGTTTTACTGAGTTGGTTTTGATCTGGATTTGGATTATTGAAGGACGAAACGCTCCAAAGAGAAGCAAGGAAGCCGTGTTGAAAGATTGGTCAAAGAAAACTAATGTAAAAGCAGAGAGGGTAAATTACATAGCAGAATTTGTACTGACCTCGGACTTCGGAGAGCCTGGAGCGATCACGATTATGAACAAGCACCAGCAGGAATTCTTCTTGGAAACTATCACGATCGAGCAATTTGCAAGTGATCCCATTCATTTTCCCTGCAATTCCTGGGTTCAGTCAAGAAAAGATCACCCTGCCAAGAGGATATTCTTCTCTAATAAGGTGAGTTTTTTTTTTCATTCTCAGTTCAGCTTTTGTAATTTGTGTTCAACTAATAATCAAGACCTTTATGAGATAATATTGCGAGTTAAAGCTGATGTGATGTGTTCTTTCACATTTCTGATATCAAATGCCTCCACGCAGTCTTATCATTGTAATGAATGAGTATACAATTCTATTATGTTGATCATTGGGAGGTGTAAAGTTTAGGAAACTCACATGCAGCCTTCTTACAGTCCTGAAATCTGCTATAAACTATTTGATAAGATTGCCTGTGGACCCAGAATTCAGCCTACCTAACTACAGTGAAATCATTCCAGTCATGCATGAGAAACAATTTCAAACGGATTAAGGGGATTATGAATGAATCTTCCTATAAAAATAACATATTCTCTTATAATCTTGTTGTTACATGAAGTTTTAAATGGTTTTCTTATGTGTTCTACGATTCTGCAGCCTTATCTACCAGGTGAGACACCAGCTGGGATTAAAGCATTAAGAGAGAAAGAGCTTAAAGACATTAGAGGTGATGGTAAAGGAGTGAGGAAACTGTCTGATCGAGTATATGACTTTGATGTGTACAACGACTTGGGAAATCCAGACAAGGGAATAGAATTTGCTCGCCCATGTCTTGGGGGCGAGAAAATTCCTTATCCTAGACGGTGTCGCACTGGACGTGCCCCTTGCGATACTGGTAAAGTTCGACTTCTTCGTTTTCAATTATAACAATGATTAGCTAAGGATATATAAAACCATATCTAATAGTTGTGTACTCCATAGATATAACCGCAGAGAGTCGAGTCGAGAAACCGTTACCCATGTACGTGCCGAGAGATGAACAGTTTGAGGAGCCTAAGCAAACCACTTTCTCTCTTGGGAGGCTTAGGGCAGTTCTTCACACTTTGGTTCCCTCTCTCAAAGCCAGCATTTTGTCAAACAAACAAGATTTCCATGGGTTTTCAGACATTGACAGCCTTTACAGTGAAGGGGTGCTCCTTAAATTAGGCTTGCAAGATGAACTCATGAAGAAGCTCCCACTGCCAAGCGTTGTGAGTGAATCCAGCCCAGGACTGCTGAAATACAACACACCTTTGATCCTTTCAAGTAAGTCGCATCATCAGCCTTCAAAAGCATCATTCATATATGCATTCATCAGCCTGTAATTTGCAAAAACAACTGATCTAGTTAGATAATCTAAATTACTTTTCCTGAGATTCAAGACAAGTTTTTACAGAATTTTAACAATCAATCCTAATCGATTGAAATAGAAATCTTTTCAACTTTGGTAACCTCATATTCATAAGTTTCCTGCAAAATAGACATTGCTATAGCAGACCAAGTTTTGCTTGAATGCAAATTGACAAACCCAATCATTCAGAAATCTTGATCATAACTAATGTCTATGTTGTTTCCTAATTGTAGAGGACAAGTTTGCCTGGCTGCGAGATGACGAATTTGCTCGCGAAGCAATAGCAGGAGTTAACCCAGTCTCCATTGAGAGGCTTAAGGTTTTCCCTCCAGTAAGCAACCTTGATCCCAACGTTTATGGTCCACAGGAATCTGCCATTAAAGAAGAGCACATCGTTGGCCAACTCAATGGCATGACCGTGCAGCAGGTAAATGATCACATCAAGCTGATAAACCGTCACTCAGATTTTTTTTCACCAAATTTGCAAATCCTAACATTATCTCGCCTCAAATTCCTTAATTGTTACAGGCATTGGATGAAAAGAAGTTGTTTATAGTGGATTACCATGATGTTTACCTTCCATTTATTGATCGGATTAATGCTCTGGACGGCCGGAAAACATATGCAACTCGCACAATCTTCTTCTTGACTCCACTTGGAACTCTCAAACCTTTGGCCATAGAGCTCAGCCTTCCACCAACTGGGCTAAGTTCTCGATCGAAACGGGTCGTAACTCCACCCGCTGATGCTACTGGCAATTGGAAATGGCAGCTCGCCAAGGCTCATGTCTGCTCCAACGACGCTGGAGTTCATCAACTTGTTAACCACTGGTATGTGAAAAACAAAACTCTTTAACTCGAAAAGAACAGAGGGGTTGAGCTTTCTGATGACTAAAAATGGCATACTGTTGATCACAGGTTGAGAACGCATGCGGGCTTGGAGCCATTCATACTGGCAGCGCACAGGCAACTGAGCTCAATGCACCCAATCTTCAAGCTCTTGGACCCACACATGCGATACACATTGGAGATCAACGCATTGGCGCGCCAAAGCCTGATCAGTGGCGAGGGAGTGATCGAANCTTGCTTCACTGCAGGGCGCTACGGCATGGAGATAAGCGCTGCTGCGTACAAGAACTTCTGGCGCTTTGACAAGGAAAGCCTTCCCGCCGATCTCATACGCAGGGGAATGGCCGAGCCGGACCCTACAATGCCCCATGGACTCAAGCTTATGATCGAGGACTACCCATACGCCACCGATGGCCTTCTAATTTGGGCCGCAATCGAGAAATGGGTTAAAACCTATGTGGCTCATTACTATCCAAACCCTAGCATGGTCCGCGAAGACAAAGAATTGCAGGACTGGTACTGGGAGTCCATCAATGTAGGGCACGGCGACCTCCGCCACGAAAGCTGGTGGCCACAACTGAACAACTCCGACGATCTCGCCTCAATTCTCACTACGCTCATCTGGCTCTCATCAGCACAACACGCGGCGCTAAACTTCGGCCAGTATCCATACGGAGGCTACGTACCGAACCGACCGCCGTTGATGCGGCGGTTGATTCCCGACGAGAACGATCCGGAATACGCCATCTTCTTGAACGATCCTCAGAAGTATTTCTTGTCAGCGTTGCCAAGCGTGCTACAGGCAACGAAGTTCATGGCGGTGGTGGATACATTGTCGACGCACTCGCCGGACGAGGAGTACCTCGGGGAGAGGCAACAGACGTCGATTTGGACAAGCGACGCAGAAATTGTAGAGGCATTTTACGAATTCTCGGCAGAGATCAGGCAGATTGAGAAGGAGATTGATAGAAGGAACGCCGACGAGCGGCTGAAGAACCGGTGCGGTGCCGGAGTATTACCGTATGAACTGCTAGCACCGAGCTCGGAACCGGGAGTTACTTGCAGAGGGGTTCCGAATAGTGTGTCAATTTGAGGCCATTGCCGCCATTGTTAAGCTTAAAAGGTCACTTTTTCAAATGAAATTTGACAGAGCCGTATTTATATGTATTGTTTTTAAATAATTAGCGGGAAAGAAAAAGTGTATTAGATTTTTACTGTAATGGACAGCGGTAAATTTTAGGGAACTTGTACATGCTGTAAAGCTTGTAACTTTCATGGTTAATCAATCCTTCCCACGCAGAAGTGATTTTGGCAAACAGGTAGACATCAAATTTGCCAAGCTTTCATATTTTTTAAGGACGGACTTGACTCTATAACCGTATGTCCAAATTCCCTCTGCAACTTCGACTTTCGAGGCTAAGGCCTAAAACCCTACCCGACCCTTCACAAGCTTATATGTACATGTGATGCTTATGTATACCTAATGTCCCTATCTTACTTATGCCTCGTTTCCACCTCAATGCAAACACTCTATCATGTGTTGTATGATGCACTGCTCTCCTCGGTCGCATCATGATATTCTTTTGTATTAGTCCACACGTGGCTTGATGGGTGTTTCTTGAGGGTCGCCGCTTTGCTTGTCTGGACGTGAGGTTTATTAGGTTATAGATGTATTTTCTATCTATAAGTGTATATATCAAAAGTCATTAATATAAATCTCTAGTCGTTGCGAAGTTAACCATCCAGGTGTTTCCACGTATATTTCTCATAGTGTTCTCCCTCTCTTGTTCTTCGTGTTTTTCATCTAAATTATGTGAGTTGTGCGTGTTAAGTTGAATGACACTGTGATTTATATGGGTCACTGATCTCGTGTATTTATAGATGTAGATTACATAACAAACCATTAAATCATAGATTCTTCTTGATTCAGAGTAACAAACAAGTAAATCAGTACTATGTATAAATATAATCTATTCTACGTTTAACAGTGCGATCCTAACACGTACAAGAAAGAGTAGCGTACGTTACACGTGTGTGTATATATATATATATAATTTAAGATTGGGTGGACTACACCCTTAAAAATTGAGTGGGTTGGTAAGATATGAAAGGGCTACCATTTATGAGTTGAATTATACACCATTTTAGACCTCCCAATTTCTTCATTTTTCAACTTTGAAGAACATTTTTTTCATGACAAAAATCAAATTTTGGCTTAGTTTCAAAATATAATAATAATAATGATGGTTTGATCGGTTCGGTATGCAATCTATACTTAGATAGATGTATTTACAGAACTTTTTTGTAACCGAGACGGTAGAAATTCTAGGACCAAATTTCTAAATCGGCTATTAAATACATATCTGAAAAACAAAAATACAAACATAAGTGGTTTAGTTCGAACTTTTAGAAATTAAAAAATTAAAGAAAGTAAGAAAATTTATGAGAAAGAACGTTCCGTCGTAAAATTGCTTTTACTAGCTTTGTATAAGGCTGTATCAGAATGAACACCACTAGATCTCGTTCTCGACCTCGACCATGACCTTGACCTCAATGGCAATACTCGAGGCCTATATCGGAGACCTTTTTGGTTCTGGTAACGGCTCTCCGGTCTCTCCTCCTTCATCTCGACCGTCTTGTTCACCTTATTGGTGTCTTCACGTGGGACAATGTACACAAATGGCTCAGTTATAAACTCTTTCATGTTATGAACAGCCTCTAATCCTTTGACCACTGAGGCCATTGAGGGCCTACATTTGGGGTGATGGCTAAGGCATTGGTATGCTATTGCAGCCAATTTTTTAGCTCCTTCATTTGAGTACTTCCCTTCAAGCCTTGGATCAATTATCTTCTCTAGTTTGTGTTGATCGTTTAAACGATGTCTCCCCCACGCTACCAAGTTTTGTTCTCGGCTCGGGCGGTTCTTGTCGACCGCTCGTCGACCTGTTAGCAACTCTAATAAAAATACTCCAAAGCTAAACACGTCACTCATTGTCGATAAATGTCCTGACAAAACAGATTGAAAAATTAGTGCAAGTTTTTTTTTGGTACTAACTAATAGTTAGCAACAAAATTTGGTTTATGAACCTGTCATGAGGTATTCCGGAGCGGCATACCCTTCTGTCCCCATGATTTGAGTCGTTACGTGTGTGTCGTCCTCATCAGAACCATTCGTAGCCAACCCGAAATCCGAAAGCTTGGGATTGTAGTCCTGTAACAACGACGATGATGATATCAATTTTTGTGTCGTTTTCAAAGATTAATGTTGAGATGAGTGATATAGTACCGAGTCGAGTAAGATGTTCGAAGCCTTGAAATCTCGAAAAATGATGGGTTTTTCGGGTTCGTGAAGGAAAGCAAGGCCTTTAGCTGATCCTAATGCAATCTTCGTCCTTTGTAACCAAGTCAAATTCGAAACGTAGCAACCTAAACCCGAAAAAGATTCATTAGAACACAAAAAAACGTACAAATTAACGTAAAAAAACATGAATTTTTCGGTTAGAATTACCTTTAAACAACAAATTCTCTAAGTTTCCACCTTCCATATATTCATAAACAAGAAGCCTCTGTTCATCTTCAAGGCAATACCCAATCAAATTGACAAGATTTGGGTGTCTCAATTGGCCAAGAAAGAACACTTCAGCCTACAAGAACACATGAAAAAACACAGTAAAAAAACCAAAATTTACAGTAAAAAATGGTAAATTCAGCACTCAAAATGGCTCACCAGCCACTCCCTATGGCCTTGAGAGCCATCCAAATCCAAAATCTTGACAGCCACATGCTGAGATTTCTTCAAACCAAGCTTGAAATTGTGAGGAATAAACCCTTTAAACACAGGCCCAAATCCACCCTCTCCCAAATAGTTACCTTTGGTGAAATTTTGAGTGATTTGAGCAAGTTCTTTGAAGGTAAAAATTTGAAGATTTGAACCATTACAAGAATTTGAAAGATCACTAATAATTGAAAGAGAAGATCTAACACTCATATCAGAAATTGATAAGATTCTTCTCAATGAAATCTTGTTTGAGGATTGAAATTCAGGGCTTTTAACAACTTTCTTTGGCTTTAAACAACTGGGTAGCAGAGATTTTAGAGGGAAGAGCTTTTTGATAGCCATTGTTCATTGAAAAGCTTGAATTTTGGACATGAAATTTGGGTTTTTTATAGTGTTTGAAGAAATGGGGCCTAAAATTTTGAGGTGAAAAGTCATGTTCTTGAAGGTAATGATGAACAAACAAGTTGATTTTGTTGTTTATGTTTGGTATTTGGATTTTATTGACTTTGATTTTAATGGGAAAAAGAGAGATTTGAGTGGGAGGGTCTTTGTTCTCTTTGTTTCTTATAAAACTTGGTTGATTTTGTTGTTTTGATTTTCATAATTTTGCAGTTTCTTAGCAAATTCATATGTTTTTTTTGAATATTGTGTTGAGGAGTGGATATGAATGTGAAGGGGTATCCATTGTTGTGTGCGTGGATGCCGTGTGAATTCCACATGCCACTAACTCCAATTAATTCAATCGAATTCTGTTTGGGTAACGTTGATGATCTAAAACATAGTTTGACGGTTGAAATATGTATTCTTGTTTATCGACGGTTGTGGAAAATAGGTAACGGGTATTTTGTCATTAAATTATATTTGTGTTGACACGGGTTTTGTTTATTTTGTCGATGTAGTTTTATGAATTAATAGATAATTAGGCTAACGATATGGTCGGGTTCCTACCATTTTGGTTTCTTTGTTCTAATTTGGTCTTCAATGTTTTAAGACTCTTTTGGAATTACTTTTAAAGATCGTAAAGTCTTTACTTGAAACGTTGTAGAAACGCACTTTTGTTACCTAAAATTGATTCGAGAATTGGTTAAATATTTTATTTTGATTCACCCTTTACAATAATTAGAAAAATAATTTGAATTAATAATTATGAATGGGTGAGGAAAAGAGGAGACCGTACGAGAACGAGACAAAACTACATGTTTAACCTTACGACATGTGCAATGAAAATTTGTAATCCTAGGATATGATATAACGTCTTAACCAATTAAATTATGTTTAAGTTCAAGAACGTTAATTTAACTTTAATACCAACTTCCGATCAAATGGTCAGATCACTAAAGCCAACAAAAATGACCTCAACGTTCAACAATATATTTTAAAAAAAATAAAAGTTTTGACAAATTTGAAATAATTTGTAACATCCCAAGTCTACAATTATCAGATATTATCTTTTTTGGGCTTTCAAACGCGTACACTAAGAAGAGATTTCCACGCATTTATAAAAAATGTTTCGTTCTCACACAAGTAGACGATTAAACATGTTTTTTCTTGAAAAAACATTAAAACAATAAAAAAGAAAAAGTGTCAACCTTTCATAATGCTTTAATGAAAAGTTAAAACTTTAAGAACTCTTAATTTGACGGTTCATCAGAGAATTAAAAAACAAAGGAAAGAAAGGGAGCAGTGACAGTCATCAGAAAGTGATAGCAAAATCAAAGTCATGGCTCCCCTTCAAGACCGACTTCTTCTACCTCAAATCATCATCAACTTAGTCTCAATCCACTTTTTTCAAACCCTCATAGACCAGAGATTTGAACATACCAACCCAATAACACCGCACATTCATGGAATTCTACATTTCGACTATTCAATTTATGTGTTTGTGAGTTTTTCTATCACGTGCGCGTATATATAAAAACAATCGACGAATATAACAAATCTGAACTGATATATAAGCTTTTATCAACCAAGAATCGAGGTTTATCAAGTCGGAAATAATCGACGACGAAAAGATTATAAAAAACCGAGCAAATGGTATAGACAAAAACGATACCATGATCTTCGAGATGAGTCGATCCAATTCGACAAAACTTGACTTCTGTAGCTGAGAAGATCTTTTCAGGCAATGTACAACTGTAGAAAAAGATATGGAGAGGAGAATGAGCCAACTCTAATAGTGATATCCATTCAAAGTTTGTAAGCTGAAACGAACGTATATATAACGAAAATACCTCATCCGTGAATCACCCGCCAAAAACACGTATATACAGCGTATATATCCTACAAGATTATCCAAATCAAGTCAAGGGGGAATCAATCTTAATAAGAATGTAATCAGTAGATTAATATGAGATCAATTCTCACCCTTGGTGAACAAAATTGGAGTTCATATTTCAGAACAAACACCACAAAGCGGAGTTATCAGGAACTGTTATTAACATCTTTCGTCCTAGTGGCAACGCTATCTGAAAACGAGACTTCCGTTCTGTTGAACTCTTAAACTTTCTATAAGCGACTGGTAGAATGATTTTAATGCCTTGATGTCATTACCCTGCAAATGAGAACCAGACTAGGATCAAAATTGTATGCAAACGCCGTGCGTACAAAAACTATTTGACATTAAAGCCTAGCCTTATACGGCTAGTGTAGACTCTTGTTCGTGAGAACCCTATGTGTCCTATTCGGCTAGTGTGCCGAAGAGTGCTTCTCGTTTAAAATAAATAAAGGGATCACTATAGACAACACCTTATGATGTCCTAAGTCATCTACTGTAACGGTCCTAAACCCACCACTAGCAGATATTGTCCTCTTTGGACTTTTCCTTAAGATTTTTAAAACGCGTCTACTAGGAAGAGTTTTCCACAACCTTATAAAAAATGTTTCGTTCCTCTCTCTAACCAATGTGGGATCTCACAATTCACCCCCTTCGGGACCCAATGTCAATCGATGTGGGACTCCTCAATCCACCTCCCTTTGGATCCCAACGTCCTTGCTGGCACACCGCCTCGTATCCACCCCCTTTCGGGGCTCAGCCTCCTTGCTGGCACATCACCCGGTGCCTGGTTCTGATACCATTTGTAACAGCCTAAGCCCACCACTAGCAAATATTATTCTCTTTGGACTTTCCCTAGCAGTAGGCTTGGGTCATTACATCTACGTTAAATCTACTTCTTTTTTCAATAATGAACATGTGTCCTCAAAAGCTAATTAAATGAACTAATTCCATATAAACATCCCCAAAACATGAAGATTTTGAGGTCAGAAATTCCAAAAGAAATTTAATATCAAACCAAGTGGAAACCAATGTTTAAACCTATGTAACACAAAGGCATCTTGGTTCATTGCTCATATAGCTAAATCCTTTTCTTTTTCTTATATAAAGAAAAAGAAATCCATAAATCTAACTAACATTACAAGGAGAGAAAAGAGTTGCTTGAATCACCCATCCAGATTCTGTAATTAATATCAAATCTCAATTAACGATTCAAAATGCAAACACGCATGTCAACTAAGTAACCTTTCGATGTGCCAATAGAAGTTTAAATTGATGCTAATAGGTACCTGTAACTTTTGACAATACTGCTCAGCCAAATCTTGAGGGCAATGTGCAGTTAAAAACCCCTTTGATACAAACTGGACAAGAAAATCCTGCCCGAACTTCTCATACATAACCTTCTGGGCCATTACAATTTCTCCAAGCAAAATCAGCTGCAACCAAAATCCACGTACAATATATTCAAAAAATTATCAGAAAAATATAACAAATAGAATATTTTGTGACTATCCTTGCAGTCCAATAATCAATGAAACAGAATTGGGCATAGCATCCTCACAGTATTTGCATCATGTAATTCAAACGATTTGTCGAGCACGCTGTACAAGCAACAGTTTGTAGCAAAGCCCTCGATTATAAAACTTTGGAAGCCAGGCACCTGAATTCAAATGAACAAAATAGTAAAACGTGTGATAAACAGTGTTTTTTTTTTTTTTTTTTTTAATTTTTCCAAGAGAAAAGACACAATAATCAACGAGGAAAGCATAACGCTACCTTCTCTTCTCCAGGACGGTCGCACCAGTCCTTAATTAATCTAATGAATATCTGTACACATGCCTATATCCCACGAAACGATGATCAGGTTCAGACAACCAAAGTGAACTAGATGTTTATGCATGAAAAAGAAAACCTACAACATAAAGCAATATGTTACCTTTCTAACAAGAATATCTTTATGATTGCACGATGTATTTAAAAGCAACTGCATCATTGGTTCCAGGTAGCTTCTACTTTTAAGAGCTAGAAACACGGAAGAGAGATCGTGTGTGGCTATCACATGAAGAAATGTATAGACTATTCGCTGAAGTTCTTGTAGTTCGCGGATTTCCTACAATAAACAGAGGAGCAATGCATAAGTCAAGGAAAGGAAAATTATCTCTCACTATGAAGAATTAAGTTTTCTTGCACAGAAGATGAACTAATACTAAACCCAGTGTCGCCTTGACGATGCCATTTAACAATATAATAAAATAAGAATTCAAGAACATATTAAGAGTACCTCGATATTGGTTCCAGGTCCTGAAGGAAGTGAATCTCTTGGGATTATGTTGAATATCCGACCAGCAATTATAGGAAATACATCCTCCAAAATGCCATGGACCAAAGTGCTGAATTTGCAGATTAATTGATTAAGTAACACAAGGAAACCGATCAACTCCTTCGGCTGCAAGAAAACATGCAATCGTAGTCAAGCTCTAAAACAAATACATGATAAGATATGAACAAGTTTATAAAAAATAAAAAAATAATAATAATAACTCGAAACACGGGTGTCTCTGTCTCTAGCAGTTTCTTTTATCAAGATGCATTAAAAAGGATCAACTGGTGACTGAATTTGAGTTCATGAGTTACCTCGCTTTCTGCAAGCAACTGCTCCAATGCCTTTGGAAGATAGGGAAATACTGATGACCCCAACGTGTCCACCATTCGATGTATAAAAGATAGAACCTTAATTCAACAGAAATTAACATCAGTGCTGGTACAGTTTATGAAATATACAAAGGTATACATGAAAGGATTATATCTAACCCTGTACCTTAGTCCGTAGAGGCTCTATTTTCGGGAATGCAACGAGGACTTGAAGAAGAACATCCAATGTCTAAATTGAAGAAGAACGTACATCAGTTAGTGATTAGTAATAATAATTCAATGAAAGGCAGTTTAATTCATAATTTGCTCCACACTTAATCCTCAATAGAAGCTACAAAAATGCTAGCAAAATGAATCTCTTAGCCACCGGTCTCTTTAACTTATTTGAACACCAGCTAGAAAGACATTACATTTATAGGTGCTCTTTTACATCCATGTCTATGTTCCACTTTTGAAAACCCTCAGGCCACTCGAGATATTGAAATAATAGCTAAAAAAGGGCACGGAAGCTAACCTGTTTGAACATCAGACCAATTGCAGGACGACTTGTTGTGACAAGACGCTCATTGAACCCCTGGATTACCAAAAACGAAAAGTGTATGTGTGACTACTTTTGACGAAAAAGAAGGTAAAAGTGAGTTGATGAAATCGCTCGTTAGAAAAAGCATCTTTACAGAAATATTAGACACCAGTAACACTAATATCATGCTTCCAAAAAGCGCCTATGCCAAAGAATGAGAGTGTAATAGGAGAAACCGGATACATCGCTCCCAAGAGAGAGGTTATTAATGAAAGGGACCTTGCTGAGGGCATTAATGGCCATGATTATTTGCTGAATGGTAGAAATCTTTGCTGTAGCCTCCTCTGGAGTTAGAGCCTTAGCATTCATTAGCACCACTTCAACCTAGATTAAAGCATTATCAGTTTAGTTGAAATATATAAGAATTAAACCGAAAAAGTTAATGATCCAGACCATTGAAAAAACTCTACTAGTAAGTCAATAACAACCTGTCGACAAAGAGGCTTGAGCAAAGATGACAAATAATCAGATTGCTTTTCCAGTGGCACATCTTCCATACCAATCAGTAAACCGATTGCCTGTAAACAAAATCATTGGATATGTAAACATAGGAACACCACAAAGCACCATTGCAGACACGTGCATGCACACGGAATAAACATAAAACAATAGGAAAAGGTATACGTATATAAAATAAATACACGCTCAGAGAAAAAAGAGAACCTCAAATATATGGCTGCCATCTTCAGACGCCGAAAGTTCATTTGATGCAAAATTTGAGCTTGTAAATCGTGCAACAGTATCCTGTAGGCTCTGAAATTTCACCATGATGATAGAAGCAAACTTAGGGATATTCAACATTATGATTAATTTTACAAGGGAATACAAAGTTTTAAGAATTGAAACATGGGATTAATACCGTTAAAATTGTCTCAATGTAAGGCACAAGCTTCACTTTTAGAAGTTTCACGACCCTCATGAATAGATAACTCGCCCTTCTACTAACATTGATGTTTGGATGGTGTATGCCTCGTTCATCAAGAAAGGCAGCCAAAACAACACTAATAAACCGAGAATTCTCCTGCACTACCTTTATATATCGGAAAATTGTTTCCAAATATATAAGTGCAACTAGCCTGTTAGAATGGCAAGAAAACCGAGTGGATAAAAGCATTGTCACCATTTCCCCAACAAGTCCGCTTCCATTTCTCAATACGTCATCGTTAATTGACTCCCCATATGCGAAAAAAAGTGTGAGTGATGCTTCTACCTCTTCAACATTCCGATCTGAAGAAGCTGCAGCAGCACTCATCATTGAACTTCTAATAAATAATTGAGTTACATCAGGTGCTACACGGCCTACGCTACGCAGAAGTACCAAGAAATCCTTCCTAAACTCCACCATTCTATCTTCTTCTTCTCTTCCGATCTTATCAAAGATATCAAGATTGTGCCGGTATACAGGATCGTAACATATTTGTGCATAGATCACTTCTAATATTTTACTCAAGTGAAGAAGCTGCTTCTCCGCCAGTGGAGAAAGGTTTTTCATAGTAGCAACATAACCAGAAAGGAATTGCACAATGCTAAAAGCCGAGTCCAGCTCACATTTTTGCAATACATAGAAAACAGATGGCAAAACTTCATTTAGAAGCTCCAAAGAATTGCTCTTAGAATCTTCTGAACTCAACCGTTTAAAACACTCCAAAGCCTCCACAGCATAGCCTGTAAGTAAGCTAGCTACCTTTGAGACCAACTCAGAATCACTATCTTCAGCAGCAACCAGACCAAAAACCCGGCTTATTTGTAGACTCTGCAACAGGGTTAGTTTTGCCTGATGATCCATCCGCTTCGAAACAACTGCAAGCAAACACCCTGCCGCAGCTCCACGAAATTGCTCCAGCAAACCATCAACTAAAGTTAACTCGAATAACAATGGCAAAATCACATCATTTACAATTAACCCAATGTCAATCCAGGATATGTATCTTCTCATAACATTCAACACACTTGCACACAGTTCTTGATCAGAATTCTTATACATGGACAAAATGTCATACCACGATCGAACTATTGCAGATACACACTGCTGTCTCATAGCATCCTTTATCCGCCCTGCAATCGTGATTTCCTCAGACGTTCGAGGGTAATCCATGCTAATCAACTCATCATCCAATGTATTCAGAACCCGACAGAACATATCAATCACCACCGGTCCTTTTCTCAAATGAGATAAGAAATCAACAAAAATCGAAGGCCAATCTAATGGATAATCAAGGTAAATTAGTGTTACCAAAACTTGAGCAAGCTTGTTCTTTATGAAAGCAGGACCCTGTAAAATTCTAAGTGCTTGATTCTCATAACTACACTCCAAACACACAATGGAAAACACTGACTTCCTAACAAAGTACTTCTCATCTAAACTCATCCACGAATAACGAACCCGAATAATCTCGTGAAGTGTTTGCAAGCACCAAAACTGAACCTGAACAAGGTTCGAAAAACACAGCTTCTCGACACACACACTGCATATTGCCGATTCCTCTTTTGCTTTATCACAATACTCATTAGCCTTAAATTTTAAATTCGAACCCGCATTGCTCGTTTCATCAAACATAATAAGAATTGCTTTCTCCAAATCATCCATGGCGCTTAAAATCTCAAACCCACAACCCAAAATCAAACTGAAAATATAATTCAACACGATTCAGTGCAAACCAGGGATTACATAAAGAACCAAGTAGATTCGGGCAAAATTGTTGAAGGGTTTTAGTGGGGTTTGTGATAGGAGGCGAAGATGCAAAGAAGAACAGCAATGGAGTGTAGCGATTCGAGAGAGTGAGATCGGAATTGAGTTCTCAGAAAGCTTACCTTTAATTATTGGATTCAGATCAATTCAGGGATCTTTAAAATGCGAAGTGTTTCAGGAAGCGTACAAATGGGATTTATTTGCTGGGAATTTTCGTTCTTTTTCTTTTCCTTTTCCTATTTCACCATTTTTTTTCTTCTCCACTCTCTAGGGTTTGTAGTTTTGAGATGGTTGCCAATTTATATAGCAATTGGTAATTGTCGCACCTTCGAAAATTAAATAAATAATTAATATATAATTTAAGTAATATAATTGCTATGGATTTATAATAAATATATTAAATGTTCTTAAATTTAAAAACAAAATCTTTAAAAACATTCTTAAATTCTTTTATAAAAAATAAAAAAATACTCTTTGTTTTTTTTTTTTTTTTATGAAAATATTTGTTTAAAAAATAGAATTTTAACTTTAAAAATATTTAAAAAATACTTGAATTTTTAAAGTTTCATAAATATCATTAAATTTTTTTAAAAAAATTTAAAAATAAAATTAAACTTTTTTAAAAGATAAAAATTATCAAAATATCATGTTTCAAAAATATTAATAACCTTCCAAAACTAACATTAATACCTTCATATTTAAAAAATAATAATAATAATTATTATTATTTTTAAAATTTCACGATTATTTTTTTTTTAAGGAAGTGGAAGAGTATGGTTTAAAAATTTAAATAATTTTTTAAATTTGAATTTTTTAAATCTAGCTGCCCTTATTTAATTATTATCTATTAAATGGTTATAAAATTGGAATTATCGTTAATTTATTTTTTAAAAGGGTAAAGTTGACAAAAAATATATATATAATATAATTCCGACGTGTCCCCTTTTTTTCACGGAAATAAAAATGTAGATACCGTAACTGAACAGTCGCGCGAGAACATCAAAACGCCACGTCATGCGCCACGTAGGCTGTCATACCGCTCAAGGGAAGACCGACACTGACCAAAATACCATCCGTCAATGCGGGGAATTCCTGCATTAATAAGGTTAAATTAGTAAATTTGATTTTTTTGGTGGCCGGGTTAATGGGCTTTACCAAGTCAGCCCATGTTAAATTATGAACCCAATTAAATCGGCCCGTTAGTTACATTAGTCGGCCCAATATACTGGAGGATCTTTTTTGGGTGGTGTGGCTTAACTTAACAGGATCACATGGAACAAAGCTCATGAATTTAAATTTGTATATCATTCTCCTAAATGTTAATTGCATCCATAGACGACATTTTTGTGTCTTTCTCGAGAAAAAATAAAGGAGAACTCGACGTCAGTGATCACCTTCAATTGGCAAAATAGATGCTCTCAGTTCGGGATAAAAAATTTGAAATTACTGTTAGTAAAGCGTGTGTGATATCTCATATTGGTTAGGGAAGAGAACGAAACACACTTTATAAGAATGTGAAAACCTTTTCCTAGTACACATTTTAAAGTCTTGAGGGAAAGCTTGAAAGGGAAACCCTAAAGAAGACAATATCTGCAGGCGGTAAGTTTGGACTATTACAAATGGCATCAAATCTAGACATTAGACTACGTGCCAACGAGGAGATTGTTTCCGGAAAGGGATAGACATGAGGCAGTGTGTCAATAAGAACGCTGGGCCTCGAAGGGGTAGATGGTGAGAATACCGAATGGGTTGGATATGTTAGACGAACACGACTCTTCACAATGGTATGATATTGTCCACTTTGAGCATAAGCTCTCATGGCTTTGCTTTGGGCTTCCCAAAAGGCCTCACACCAATGGAGTTAGTATTCCTCACTTATAAACCCATGATCATTCCCTAAATTAGCCGATGTGGGACTTTCATCATCCAACCGGATATATATATATATATTAATTAAGATAATGATTAATAGGACATGGCACGTGGGCTGGGTATTGATGCCGACCAATCATCATCATGTAAGCAATTGCTTGCACAATTTAAGCAACCAAACTATACGCAAAGCCTAAATCAATTGCTTTTTCTGGTACTCACTCCTTTACGTCTCTACTTTGACAATTCTATTTTGTTGCTTTCGATAACAAAATGTGTAAACTTTTATATCATTATTTTTTAATAAACAGAGTTTATCCAAAGTTTGTTACCAACTTCACACTCTTAATGACGTTTGAGGGGTATTTTAGACATTACAAAAGTACAAACACTTTCTTCTGGTTTAAAATCACTCTTAATCTATAAGTTTGAAGGGTATTTTAGTCATTACCATAAAAAAACCGATGACTTATAGAGCAAGTATTTTCTCTAGCTTAATCGTTTCTTTCCTAACTATTTTATTTTTTAATTTAAAATTTAAAAACAATAATGTATTTAATTTTGAATATTTAAAAATATATTTGAAAGTAATTTTAAGTATAATAAATAATTTTCAATCGTTTTCCCCTGTCATGTAATATAATATTCTAGAAGTGAAAAACGTGATTTTTATTTATTTGTCTTTTTTTTTTCTTTTTTCTAAATAATATATTTGAGTAATATTGTCGTACGAGGTTGGGCCCATCAGCATTAACCATGTTCTAGATTGATCGGGAAATCCAACGGTCAGAAATGAATATCAGTTTGTGAACCGGTCCGCCACCACCATTTTGGCGTTTCTCTTTGATTCGGCCGCGGCAATCTCCGCCCCACCTACGGTTTTTGTCCGCTTCCGTCAGCCAGTCAAAGCATCCACAACCGTCCGATTCTCCGACGCCACCGTCCAACGGTCCTGGAACCGGCACCGCAGAAACGACTTTAATTTAGTAGGCATAATTTTCGCTTCATTTTTTTGGTCAAATTATTTTATTTTTTTAAAATTACGCTTAAATATTATATACATAGCAAAATTAATATAATTTCTTAAATTTTTTTAATTATAAATACTAGAGGCAAATTCAGCCAAATATAATATTTTTTTAAATCATATAAATAACTAAAACTACGTAAAATTTATAACATATAATATATTAAAAATTTATATAAATAAAAAATATATTATCAATTAAAAAGTTAAATATAAAGATTTATCCAATCTATAAATGGCATCTCTATCCGACATGTCGACTCATGGCTACTGGTCAGCTGACCACGTGGCGCTGATTTTTACAAACTGCGGTCCACGTGTTTCTCCACGGCCACTCCAAACTGAATCTATCAGAAAAAATTAAAATTTAAATAAAAATAATTATTTTCCTATTTTTCTTTTTATTTGACCATGGAGATTTGCTGAACTGAGTGAAATTCCAATATTGCCCTTCGCCGGCTTTTCAATTTCAATTTTAAAATAATCATTGGACAACCTTATAAAATTCGTAAATGTTGTCTCCATAATTGGCCCAACATCTTTAAAATTAAATTTTATATTTAATTTGATTTGACTAAAGATATTTATTTAAGCAATGGAAATTTGGTGTTTAAGATAAGATTATTAATTAATTAGTTATATTTATTATTTTACTATATATTTCATTTCATTGACGATTAGTTAAAATTTATATACTTTATATAAAAATGGTAAAATCTTCATTTTAATGGAAGAGGTAATTATATTCTCGACCTCATCTCCACCTCAATTTTGTCCTGCATCGCCTTGCTGTTTATATAAATATAAAATTTGATTTTTTTATTTTTCATAACACTCTATTTTTTTTAGAAAATATTATTAGATTTATTCTGATATTTTAATATTCATTCAAATTTAGTTTTAAATGAATACACATTTTAATAATAATAATAAATAATAATGAAAATGATTTCGTAAAATTAAATAGAGATTTTGCGAATATGAGAATTTAATTTTATTTAATATATAAGTAATTTGAAATTATTATTATCATCATTATTATTTAATTCAATAACACATAGAAAATAAAAACTTTATTCGTAATATTTTAATTCAAATTGCAATAGACATTTATATCTTTAATCTATATTATATTTTGCATAATTTATTTGAACTTCTGGAAATAAATCGACAATATAAAAATAATTTTGAATAATATATATATTTTTTATATAGGTAAATTATAATGTCTCTTTCGTTGTACCATAAATAATTTTTATAATTCAATAATTTGTCAAACATTAAAAAAACCTTTTTTATAATAACAATATTAAAATGCAAATACACGTGGCATATCCACTCATATCCAAAACCGGGGAGACCACTCTGTTTAAAGGTATATAATTAAAATAATTAATTAAATTATAAGAATATGAAAAAAGTAATTATTTATCCATATCCACTTCTACCGTTGTCAAACAAAGTAATTATTTATCAAATTTATTTACATTTTTTAAATCACAGATTAATTAGTTTAATTTAAAACTTAAATTAAAAATTATATATATATATATATATAAAATATATATAAACTACTCTTTCTAATTTTGGAAATTATAAAATATAGATGAAAATTAGAAAAAGTAAAAAATATTTTATAGAATGAAATTAAAAAATTGGGTCTTAAATGTTTAAATTTACTAAAATATTTAAGTTTTTTTTTATTAAATTATAAAAATAAAATTTTAAGTTGGTTAAAGACGAAGAATTAGTCTTTCGTAGGGGACACAGTATGGTTATTTCGATAGAAAATAAGGGTATTTATGTAATTTGTTAATTCCAGATTATTATTATTATTATTTTTTTCCTTCCAATTTCTTGTAGCATTCGGTGTAATGTAATGGAAGTAGAATACGGATTCTGTGAATATCGTGGGAAGCCCTCCCTGTTCCTTTCATTCATCCTTCCTCACCAATTCCCTTTCCCTCTTTGACACTTCTTTCTTCCTTCTTTTGTTCTTATTTCCACTTCAATTCCTTCGCCTTTTCTCCTTCTTCAACGTCTATAAATCTTTACATATTCCTTTTACGCCATTGATATTTCTTTTTTCTGTTCTTCTGTTCTTTGGCGTACCCACGATTCTCCTTCTTTCCGAGGGACAACAGTTTCCGATCGCTCAGAAAGTTGATTGTTCTTCCATATTAGTGTTGGGTTTTTCACTTACTGATCTGGGTCTGTCGATTTCTTTAGTGGGTCATTCAGGAATTTGCTGTAGATTGTTTGTTTTTCTTTCATCTTGTCTATAAAATTGTTCGATTCTTGTTGCTTCTGTTTAGTTTGATTCGTGATTACACTCTTCAAGCCTCTTAGAAAGTTGGGTTGTTCTCTAACCCTAGATTTGGGGTTTCTTTCTGTGGAGTTGGTGTTGGATTAGCGAGGGAATTAGTTGGATTTTTGGGGGTTTTGATTTGAATAGATTTGATTTCTGGTTTTGATTGGATTATTTGGGTTTGATTGTGATCTGATTTGGAGAGGGAAGTGATTTTTTGTGCCCTAGATCATGGGAGTTCCGACGATTGCTTTATACGTCGTTCCGCCGAGTAGTATTTGCTCTACGCACCCTTGTCAGATCAATGCTCATTCGTCTTTCGATTTCGAAATTGGTTCTCGATCTTCTTCAGCGTCGTCAGCATCGGCTTCTCAGAAGCCGGTGGCCGGTGGGCTGACTTGCCTTTTCTCCGCTTCTCCGGTGCGGCATGTTTCGTCGACGACTAGCTATGCCGGTTGTGGAGAGGAATTGGGATCGTTATGGCATGATAGAGGGGAGGAATTGAGTAGCTCATTCCGTTATTCTTCGAGCAAATATTTGGGGTCTTCATTGACTAGGGATTCTAGCCCTGTATCGGTGTTTCAGGGTCCGATTACGTGTTGCAGTAGCGGAGTTGGTTCATCGGCGAAGAGCCCTCCAATTTGGATTTCGAGAGAGAAGAGTGGGGACGTGAATTTCCAGAGCTCGATCGGAGTTGGGTCAAATGGATTCTTCAATGGATACTTGAGGAATGCTTCAGGATCTTATGTGGATGTTCATAGAAATGCACTTGATGTGAGTTCATCGGCTGTGCTCATGGATGAGTTGACTTTTAATTTGGAAGATGGATTTGTGGAGTGCACTTCAGAGTCGTATGCAAGGGATATGCTTCGTGGTGCACAAATTAGGCATGAAATCTTTCTCGATGAATTCGTGATCAAGGCGTTTTACGAAGCTGAAAAGGCACACAGAGGACAAGTATGAAGCCAGTTTCATGATCTCTTTCCCCTGTTTCAATCTGTGGCATTAGTGAAGATGGCTAAACTTGTATTATTTCTTTGCAGATGCGAGCGAGTGGAGATCCATATTTACAACATTGTGTCGAAACTGCGGTGTTGTTGGCATCAATTGGTGCAAATTCCACGGTTGTCGCTGCAGGGCTTCTGCACGATGCGCTCGACGATTCTATCGTGTGTTATGACTACATTTTAGGGACAGTTGGAGCTGGGGTTGCTGATTTAGTTGAAGAGGTGAGCAAATTTTTCGTTCTCGATTAGGAACTGATGAAATTTGATTGGATTTAATGCCTATGAAGGTTGACCAGTGATTTATTGTTGCTAAATTGTCGATCGCTGCCCCCTTTGTACAAGACTCGATCTTAGTATGCTTACTATTTGGATAGAGTCTGATTTAGACTTTCGACTTATGGTAAAATTCATCTTGTGGTTTTAGGTGTCTCAACTAAGTCATTTAAGCAAGCTTGCACGCGAAAATAACACAGCTAACAAAACCGTCGAGGCAGATCGGTTGCATACCATGTTCCTCGCCATGGCCGACACTAGGGCCGTTCTCGTTAAATTGGCTGATCGTCTGCATAACATGATGACACTAGATGCATTGCCATTGACCAAACGATTAAGAGTTGCCAAGGAGACTTTGGAAATCTTCGTACCATTGGCTAATCGCTTGGGAATATCGAGTTGGAAGGAGCAGCTGGAAAATTTATGCTTTAAGCATCTTCATCCCGTCGAGTATAAAGAATTTTCGTCTAAACTCGTGGAGTCGTTTGATTCAGCAATGATTACTTCTGCTATTGAAAAATTAGATCAAGCTCTTAAGAATGAAGGGATTTCTTACCATCTCTTATCTGGACGCAATAAAAGCTTGTACAGCATATACTTGAAAATGTTAAGGTATGTCCCCTTTTATGTTCAATAAAAGCTTGATCTGATGGTTATGAATGCTGCAGTGAATCTTGCATAGTGATGGCTCATTGAAAATGTGTACTTTTTATTTCTTATTTGCAGAAAGAAGTTGACCATGGATGAAATACACGACATTCACGGATTACGTCTTATTGTAAAAAATGAAGGAGACTGCCAGAGAGCTTTGGCAGTAGTTCATCAGTTGTGGTCCGAAGTGCCCGGGCGGTTCAAAGATTATATTAGTCACCCCAAGTTTAATGGGTATGTTGTGGCTCAAAATGGTTGTTCTTCTGTGTTCTTTCTATGTTCGTCCCCTTGTCTAACTTGATTCGATGATTTGAAGGTATCGATCGCTCCACACGGTTGTGGTGGGTGAAGATATGGCACCCCTTGAAGTTCAAATTCGAACAAAGGAAATGCATTTGCAAGCTGAGTTTGGGATTGCAGCTCATTGGAGATATAAGGAGGGCGACAGTGAATATTCTCCGTTTGTCGTTCAGATGGTCGAATGGGCCCGATGGGTCGTCACTTGGCAGTGTTTGGCTATGAGCAAGGATGGATCATCTGTTGGTTCTGATGATTCAATCAAGCCACCCTGCAAATTCCCTTCTCATTCTGAAGGCTGTCCATATTCATACAAAAGCCAATGTGATCGACAAGATGGACCGGTCTTTGTCATAACTATTGAGAATGACAAGGTGTGTTTCCTTTTTTTCGTGTTATGTCCGTGAACTCGGTTAAGTGATGTAGTCTAACGATTGCAACATACTTACTACTGCAGATGTCGGTACAAGAGTTTCCTGCAAATTCAACAATCATGGATTTAATGGAAAGATGTGGGCGAGGAAGCTCAAGATGGACCTCCCATGGCTTCCCCACGAAAGAGGAGTTGAGGCCGAAGGTAAACCACGAGCGAGTGAATGATCCAAAATGCAAGCTGAAGATGGGTGATGTGGTAGAGCTAACTTCCACCATACCCGACAAGTCATTGACAGAGTGCAGGGAGGAAATCCAGCGAATGTACGATCGTGGGATCACGGTATCAAATCCCGGACCGTCCCCGGTTGCACCAAACACTGCTGGTTTCTGGAGCTGACCATACCTTATTTTGTCTATGATATACATTTAGTGATGATTATCAAATTATTCTGTATATAGCGGTCTCTGTACAAAACAACTTGATAGTTGCCACAAAGAAATAGATGACTAACAGAAACTCAGAACGGTTCAAAATCAAGATTAAAAGTTAATTATTGAATGATAGAATTTCATTTTCATACCCAGATTTTTCTCTTCTAGACCTGTGATGTAATTTTGTCCAAGAATGTGGGAATTAAATATCCACATTCCAATGATCAGATTCTATTGGAATGGACACATGGTGGAAACAGAACCACTGAATTCTTTTACCAAATAGAAACAACGCTCGTTATTATACAATAGATCTTGTTCATAAATATTACACTGGAGTTTCAAAGCACCTTTTTAATTGGGGAAGTTGGGAGGAAAGTGTGAAACCACGAACCGAAAGACGGTTATTTTTGGACGTTTCGCCAAGTGGAAAGATACTCTCCGTGGGGTATGTTGAGGTGCTTCTGTGCTGGGTTCATGGGACGGAACAGGGTTGGTACCTTCCTTCTCCTTTGTGTCACTCCAGGCTCTAGACTCTTTTTTCTCTCATGGATCATAGCAAAGTCGATTAAGGAAAACACTCCCTTTTTACGAGAGAGGGTCCCAAAAAGGTGGCACAAGAGGACCTGACAACCTCTTTCAGGTTGATCCTCCTCCGAGCCAAAGCCCCTTATTTTCTACCTTTCCCCAGGAGGCCCCTCCATGGTTTCTACTGGTTGCTTCTTTGGGATTGCCAGTTGATGGTTGGGTCCGAGCAATGTGTCTTGATTAGGTGGAAGGGTGATACCAGGCCCACCAATGGACCTTGGCAATGGTATTTTGTTTCTATTTCTGGCTAACTCTAGAAGAACCTGACAAAACAGAAACACATGGTTATCCGTGATATGATCATCCTTCTAATACACTCCATAAATATTCCCCCATGCACAAATAGATATTTCTCACTAACAAGGCAATGATTCTGTGCTAAGCTGATGTAACTTATTATAACAGTTCAAGCCCACCCACCACAGACCCACCACAGACCGATATTGTCTTCTTTGGCTTTCTCTTTTGGGCTTCCCTTCAAGTTTTTAAAACACTCATCATTATCAAATCTACTTGAGAGAGATTTCCACATCCTTATAAGGAATGCTTCGTTCCCCTCTCTAACCGATGTGGGATCTCACAATAAATGATTGGCATATTACTCAAAGAATTCCATCAGTAAGTCCTATTTCCGAGCTTAATTGACCAAAGAGTCACTCCACAAATCGATTACATCTAGTTGGGACTATGAAGCCATGTTACCTCTCTTGGAGAAGGTCGTGAGAAACTGAAATTAACTTTTGACTGGATAGCAAGCGTCGCACCATCACACAGCAGCCTTGCCTGCATGCTCCGAGTAAACTCCTGCATCCATCAGTAATCTGCAGTTCACAATCTTCAACTCCCATTGATTTCAGAAGTATTTCACCATCTTTAGGTCCCTCTCTCCCTCAATTATTTCCTTACTGCCCCTTTCACCTGTACACATAGATATAACATTCAAAACTGATTCAATCAAAAGCTTGTTTTACATTCCACATTTGATATTATGAAGTAAAAAATTATAGTTTACAAGACTTTCATATGTTCTGTACTTCTGCCTTGATCTTTTATCTGAACTTTGTGGGAGAAATCCTTTAAAGAAAAATAAATGTTTGAAAATTTAAAAGACTAAGTAAGTGATCGTGCTATATAATCAACCAAAGATATATCAACTAGTTAAGTTATAAATCATCGACTATAAGGTCAAAGATTTGAACTCTCACATTGTTAGTTAAAACAAATCTCTTGTATGAAAGATCTTAGTCAACATTCAGATACAGCAATACTCTAGGAGATGAATTCTTTGTCTTCCATTGATAACATTGTGTTTGAAAATAGTAGCATGTAGATGGCAACTCCAGGACAAAAAGAACAGATCCATTGTCTAATTTTTCAGTTTGAAAATAAACAGAGGACGAAAACGAATTGGCTTCTCAAACTTAAAATTCAACGCTTAGCAAAATTACAGCATAATATTGCAATTTCCGACTTCTCCTTCCCAATTTCCCCCCAACTTCAAACCTTCCAGAAATGCGAGAAAACATAAAATTATAAATTGCATGCTACCATTTAGTTTCGAGAGCCATAATTCAGTAATTCAAAAGTGGAAAAAGATTAAGAATCCTTAATCACCAATTTCACATTTGCCCTCCAATCTAAACACGAAAAACTCGTCCGCTAGACAACATAAAATCAGTTGCCGCAAAACCTAAAAATACGCAGAAAAATTGAATGAAACTCTACCAGTTGTTTACTCGATGGGATCAAGAACGGAAAGAAGACAAATGCTAGCATACCTACTCGTGAAGATCGAGCTTCGGCGAGAAAATGGTGTTTTGGTTGTCGTATCCACCTCCATTTCCACGACTCATCTTCTCTAGAATCTAAACAACAGAATTCCTTTCCCTAAAAATTTTGTAATTCCTGTTTCAGTCAGAGCTTCATGGATTTGCTTCGAAGCCGATACGCTGTTCTTCGCTCTCGTCTCCTCTCCTCCAAGTTCAGCGCATGGAAGTCGATGTGTCGAATCCGGAGCCCCGAATGATGCTACCAGGTTTCCAATGGATTCATGGCCCAAAGTCGGCCCATATTAATATAGAATTGAGTTGGGTTCACTTGGGTTGGGGTGTAATTTTATTTATGAGTTGATTTGACCCAAAAAAAAAAAAAAAAAAAAAAAAAAAAAAAAAAAAAAAAAAAAAAAAAAAAAAAAAAAAAAAAAAAAAAAAAAAAAAAAGTCAACCCAAACATCAAATCAAAATTTTGACTTTAATAAAATTCAACTCAATCCAAACCGAAAGAAAATCTAACCTAGCCCTAGGAATAATACAACTAGAGAGAATACTGAACTTTCATTTTAGCTAATCAATATAATCGATAGTCTCAGTTATCTACAAGGATAAACAATTGAGTCAATATCCATAATAGGTTAGAATTGATTTTCAATTCCGTTATTTGAGCTTACCGACATTAGCATATTAAAATCAATGAAACTTATTAGACAAAAATTTGAGATATAGAATATACTCGAGACCAAGAGAAAATAAGAAGATCGATGAAAAAGGGATGCATACAAGACGAGAGTGAAGGAGGGAACCCTAAAGGGATGACTTCAGCACCAAGCACGTGGTAGCATGGCGGGACAATGCTGAATGAACCTGTCGTCTGTTGGATGATGAAAGTCCCACATCGGTTAATTTAGGGAATGGTCATGGGTTTATAATTTAAGAATACACTCTCCATTGGAATGAGGCATTTTGGGAAGCCCAAAGCAAAGCCATGAGAGCTTATACTCAAAGTGGACAATATCATACAATTGTAGAGAGTCGTGTTCCTCTAACATCCTCTAATCTAGAGGTTAGAAGTTCAAATCACATAACAATTTAAACCCTAATTTATATCCGTAATAAAAGCAAATTTGATTTTTCGTTATTATTTTTTTTCCTGGGTCGAAATTTGATGAGTAATATTAACCAACCACTCTGACGGTGGTGGATTGCTCGAAGAAAAATTCCGTCCACTGCGCTACCCGTTTTCCCAAATTCTGCAGTTCTCCTCCGAATTGGCCTGCGTTATCGCCCGCCATTTGCCGGAAAATCGCCGCCGCACTGACTCTGCGGTTGTGCCGGTCGCCATCTACAACGCATTCAAGGAGGGAACTGTTTTCACCGCCACAGAGACGCGGAATTCACTAATGTCCTCATCGGAGCAAGCCCTCGTCTCTCTATTCTCCCGATTTGCTTTATCGTTCGATGGAGCTGCTTTGGGCGCAGCCCTAGCCTACGCTGCGTTTCGTACCGTCCTCAAACTCACTGCTTCCTGCTCTGCTCTCGATGAGCTCCGTAAAGCTCCAAATGTAAGAGTATCTGATCTTCGCCATATGACTTCCGACGGAGATTCGGGACAATCCGAGTCCGATCAAAAGCTTGTTGTCGTTCGTGGCACCGTGGAGGCCAGGTCGTTTGTGGAAGGTAATTGGAAGAGCTTGCAGCCTAATGTATTGATTTCTCAGGAGTCCGGAGATAGAGCAGTGATTATTCAGCGTACGCAAATGGTAAAATCTCCTATGTTGTTTTTGTTAGGCACTGCGTGACTGTGTTAAGATGTTTTTTTTTTGGGGCTGCAGTTCTTCTGGAGGAGGATAAGTGAAAACTGAGCTATGCAGTTTAGAGGATTGCCTGATTAAATTTAATAATATTCCGTTTGTTAGAATCATATGAATGCAGAGTGTTGTGTTAGTATTTGAGTTACTTGATAGCACCACTAAAAGTTGCCATTGAAGTCTAACCGACTAATGAATAACTCGTGAACTCGTGCATCGTTAAATTTTTTTCACATTATGATGTCTCTAGTAACGTCCTTAAGTTCAGGAGCAATAATGATATGATTCTAGTCTGCATGAACAATGAAATGAGAAGAATCATGGGTGAAATGATATGATTCTAGTCTGCATAGGTCTTCTGGCTTGCCTGAATTTGTTCTATCATCATATATAATGTATAACTACCGTATGCGGATTAAATATTTGGGAAACATTGAACTCTTAAATCAATTGTAAAATCTTGGGGAAAATGAATTTCTGTTTTCTCAGGCGAACTATCATAACCTAATTGGTTCTGCAAGTGTCTGTTTTGTTCCCCTTTGCTATTCAGTATTGTTAATGTGTTGTGTGTGTACATAATATCCAGTTTTATAAACTAAAGCCTATTGGGTTGTAACTTGTGGCATTGTTTAGTGCATATTCAACGAATGGAAAGGCTTTCTTGGATGGACTTCTGATTTACGTGCAATTTTTGGAAGAACCTTTAGAAAGCAAGAGTCAACATCGTTCAGAACGGTAAAATCAAGCTTCTCTCTGTTACTGCTATGGTTGGTTCACTCTTTTTGTCCTTAGTAATAAAAGATCTTTGTATTCAATACCTTTTAAGCTTGAATGATATGGAACTTTGTTATTCTGTCTGTGAATAAAGAGCAAATTGAAGTTGAATGATTTTTTCTGAGGGCATCTCTTATATGTGGCCATTCTGTTAGGTCCTTTTCCTGTGATTCTCTATTGGATCTACTTTTTCCCTTGCTTGTGGCGCGTGCAAGTAGGTTTGTAAGTGCTATCTCTTCAGAAAGGGGTCCAAACCGAGTAGGCTTGAAGGTATACCCCATAGTGTCAAGAAATAAGCAACTTATTGTAGCTAACTTTTTGTTTATAAAAGCTAAATGTACTTCATAAGAGGATTGATGTGTGGCAGTTGTGATTTGTGAAGACTGAAGGTAAAATATATATTTTAGATATCTGGTTGAGCAGCAGGGAACCATATTCCTTTGGTGATTGTACCAGAATTCAGTGCAGTTTCCATATTATGTCTTAACTTTTGTGATGCTGATATTTGTGAAAACTTTTAACAGGTTCCTTTCGTCCTTGTTGAGGGTCATTCCCCGTATTCTGATTTTGTTGTTGTTAACATGGATGGCTCAAGACATCGTTTGCCTCTTACAACTGTGTATCGTCAACTGCAACCCGTTTGTGCTACTCCTTATACCTTCCTTCAAGCACTTTTTGGTCACAAGTACCCTGTGAGTTAGGCAATCTATTTTGAATTAAAACATCTTTTTCTTTCTTTTTATTAATGGATTTTATCTAAAAATTCTTTATCATGTTCCACTTTTGAAGGTTGGGGTGCTTGATGAGGAGAAAATACTTCCATTAGGGAAAAATATCAGTGTTGTTGGCGTATGCAGTTTTAAAAATGGAGTTCCTGAGATAAAGTCATGCAAGGATTTTCCCCACTTCCTGTAAGTTTATTCATTTTGAAGTAGAAATAAAGTTGAGAAGGTCAAGATTATGTAATATAATTTTTGAAGGTAAACCATTGAGGCATATAATTAATTCTTTCCCTTGACTCATCCTCATAAAATTGACAATAAATGTGTTCTGTATTCCAATAGTGAGCCCCATTGATTTGGCTTTAGTGCTCTGTTTGGGATTTTAACTAGGTCCTTGGATCAAGCCAATGAGTAGAAAGCTTTCGTTGTCTGTTGGAGTGTGGATTTTGGTTTATTCTTGCGTTAGCCAACACATGTTGTCTCATCAGTGATGCTAGCAAATGGCTAGTTTCTGCCACACCCACCCAAAGTAACCCACGCATGAGTGACTATGGGGAACAGTGTCTAATTTGTCCTTAGAGATAATCTTCATTGCAAAAACGGGTACTATGATGACTTACTTTTCCTTGCAGATGTGAAATGACTAAAGATCAGATGGTTTTAGATCTAGTCTTCAAAACAAAATTTCTGTTCTGGAGTAGTATTGTCCTTGGTTCGTTGTCAGTTGGCGTTCTTGGCTGTTCTGTTATGAGGTATGTTATCTTTCTTTCTTTCTTTTATTTTATTGTAAACTGTCGCAAGGTATCTTAATGTTGATCATTTTTTTAGGCATCCATGAAATGTTTATTTGCTTGGCACTCTGCTTTCTGTTGCTACGTTTTGAATATCAAATTGGTAGGGTAAGGGATGAAGTAGAAGAGTAGCAATGATTCTTCAATCTTTATTTTTCTAGTGGTGAATTTCTCTTGCTTTTATGAACGAACTATTGTTCTTATTTGGTCCTCGAATGGAATGAATAAAAGCTTAGCTCTACTGCGTAGTGAGTGAGTGATGAATTATGAGATTACTCCCAAATTTACATATTATTCACCCTTTCTATGATTACATGAAAAATTTGATGAATGTTTGAACTTATTTGCGTCCATTCTCTTCAGAAATTGGAATAGATGGAAACAGTGGAGGCAACAGAGACGGTTACAGGATTCAGGGAATGATTCCACCATATCACAACTGGATTCAAGCAATAATATCCCCATTTATGGTGATTTTGGAACTGCATCAGACGACGAGGTAGCATCCATTCCAGATGACGAGTTATCATCGAACGTTCCAGATGGACAGTTGTGCGTGATCTGTCTCATGAGGAGAAGGCGATCTGCTTTCATTCCATGTGGTCATTTAGTCTGCTGTGAACGTTGTGCCATATCAGTCGAACGCGATTCAGCTCCCAAATGCCCCGTCTGCCGCCAGCAGATCCGTAGTTCTGTGCGAATATATGATTCATGAGAAGAAGCAAATTATTTCTCAGGTTCGAACTCATCTATATGGGAATCTCATTCATCTGGGTGGCCTTTTTCTGCTGATACCAAGATTTTATATATATGCAATGCAGGTGATTCCTGGAGCAGCAGTGATGGCTCTTGTAAATACCAGACAATATACTCTTTTATACTCTAACTTGGCAATGTATGGTACCAAAGAAAACAAACAAATAAATAAAATCTTGCTGATATGTGATAAGAAAGGAAGCTTCAGTATTGGCTCTGATATTATTACTCCCTCCACTCCCATTTTATGATGGGACTAAGTTCAAGACATGTACTTTTGACTAAGAAATTTGATACTCAAAAGATTATGAGACTTTTACTCCACTCTAATTTCCTGTTTCCACCGGAAATTGTGCAAGGGAAGTGTTTGGGTTCTCTGTTGTTTTTCGGTGAGAGGAAATTGGGTGTTGAAAGAAAATGCGTAACAAAAAGGAGAGAGAAAATTAACTGAATTGGGTTCCGATTGTTTTATTTTCTGAACAGATTGTTTTATTTTCTGAACAAATTGTTTTATTTTCTGAACAAATTGTTTTATTTTCTGAACAAATTGTTTTATTTTCTGAACAAATCTCCTATTTAAAGTAAAAAGGATTCTAAAAATGGCTGGAATCTGTGCCACTTCCTACAAAATTTCAGTCAAAAACTCTGGTGATCCAACTAAATCTGTGCCACTTCCTACAAAATTTCAGTCTAAAACTCTGGTGATCCAACTAAATCTGTGCCACTTTCTACAAAATTTCAGTCTAAAACTCTGGTGATCCATTCGACGTGATTTGTCAAATAGTCAAACTGACGATTTTCTGAAATCGTGTGAATAAGAAAAACGGTAAAACTCAGGTTTTATCTAACATTCTCTTGATGGGTGTGCATCCAATGATCCGGCTCAATTTGCTATCCTAACTAAGTCTTGAGTTTTTTTGAGTCTCGGAAAAAAAAATTCGATTAAAGATGTGGGTATATTAGAGATATGAAGATCACTATCATTCGTTTTGAGTACTTTTTTTTTTTCTTAAATCGATGTTAATTGAAGTGTATGACTAACCCAATAACGAAAGTTTCGCAAGGAACTTGAACAGGTTACCATGAGACAAACAAAAGATATAAGATCTTCTTTCCAAACGAAAGTTTCGTAAGGAACTCGAACAAGCTACCATGAGACAAATAACAAACAAAAGATCAAAGTTTCATTAGGAATTCGAACAGGCTACCATGAGGCAAAGATCTCCAAACAAATTCGATTCGGAACTCTAAGATCTTCTGTCCAATATTGAAATTCTTTTTCTGTGTCAACGAACAATTTGAAATGCCTCGACTTTTTTAGAACCGACAACTTTTTTAGAACAGGTTCCGTTCAAATAGTATTGCGTGCCCTGGATAGCCAAATTCCAACACAAAAAGCTACAGTGTATTTATTTGTTGGCAAACAGATTTTGGATTTTGAAGGCAGTTGCCAGAAATCAAGTGCTTCAAGAACTCTGCATTGGAAATTACTGCGCAAAACAAAAGAAGGAAAAGCTTTGAACAGTTTCAACCGCCATTGGATTTCATCCCCAACTTCCAAAATGAACAAAACGAAACAGGTTGCCCTTTCCACCATAGCCCTACGCATCCATCTTTCTCTTCAACTCTCATCTCCCAGTTGTTATCATACCTTCTCATTGAAGCTCGAGCCGTATCAATGGTGTCTTCACCGAACAACTTTCTTGCAAATCCAGCATTTCTCATTCTTTCGCACCATTTTTCCATTTCCTCGTTCATTTCGCCTTGGTTCGTCAGCCCCCTTGCGGCTTCGCCTTCCATCACCTTTCTTTCCTCGCTTTCTCGACCTTTGAATGCGGAGCTTGTTGAATCCAGGAATCTCCATAGGTATTCAACTTTTCTTGTGAATCCGGTGTCGAAATTTCCACAGTTGTTACAGCTACATGCCATGTTGTTTTCGCTTAGAATCACAGCTTTCGGTTCTATCTTTCTTAGGTTTTGTAAGAACTCGAATCTTTCGTCTGGAGCGTAGTGTTTCAATTGGTGGAGTCTGAACTGTGCGCAAACGATTAAGATTTCGTCCGGTAACTTGCCGATTACTTGCGAATTGAAACTCTGTAGCGAGCGATTGTCGAGGCGGTTGATCTGTAAATTGATGTTTAATGATTTCGCGAAGCTAAGAAGCCGAGAGGAGATGTTGTCTCCCGGTGGACCAATCGAAAACGGCGTCTCTGCATTTTGATCATGTTCGACGGTTGGAGCGATGACTGTGAGGCGAATTAGCGGCGGGGGTCCACCGGAGCGGCGAGTTAAGGCCTCGAGCAGCGTCGGCCATTGCACACCATGAGAAACCCCGATATCAAGAATGTGAAGATTGCGCGAGCGATTAGGTTCTTCAGAGAGAATGTGGAGAATCGAAGAATTTGCGATGTTATTCGGAAAAGCAAACCATGGACTCACCTCGTGGAATTTAATCAACGACCTCTGAAAGAATCGAAGGTCCGTCGAAGCAAAAGTAACCGGCGCAACTGTGGAAGAAGAAGAATAGCATGAAGAATTGGAGGACAGGTAATGGGCCAAAGCTCGGAGACCATAGGCGGCGAGCCGGTGGTTAGCATCGCCGGTGGGCGAGGCGAGCTCTTGAAGAACACAAAGAAGGTGATGTACTCTTGTTGCATCCCCTTTTATGATAGCATTAGCACAAGGATTTAGCAATTGCTCTGCCCACCTTCCTTCCTTGTTACTTCCATTATGATTGTTATTCCCTGTGGCTTTTGATGAATTCCTTTTGTTCCCCACTGATTTCTTTATCACAGTCACACCTTCAACAGCTCCACTGCCTTTATCTGCACCATTTTTGCTCTGATTGTTCTGGTTCTTCCTCTGATTCTGTTGGGTTTGCGATGGTTTATGAACTGTATCATCCGGAGCTTTTCTTTTCTTAGTCAAATCAGATGGCGTCAAGTGATGGGAAGTGGAAGTGTTAGGTGGTTTAGTACTGACAGTGGTGGGGGAACTGCTTAGACAGCCATTAATCAGATCTTGGCCTATGTCTTGGTTCTCATCCCACCATTGATAGCAGTTTATAGAGCTAGAGTTGTAGGAATCATCCGGGAACGGGGAAGAAAAGAAAGGAACTGAATCCGCTAACCAATCCAATATATGATCTGAAGGGTGGTTTGCACCTGGTTCTTCAATGGTCATTTTTCTTGGTGAAAAGTATTTCAGACAGAGAGGGAAAGAGAAGATATCCTTTTGATGAGGGGAGGGAGGGAGAAAAATGGAGTTCAAGGGGTTGCTGGGTTTTGGGTGGAGGCTCATTGACTAAAAGATTAGGATAGAGCCAATATTGTTTGCATTAAAATAAGGCAAGGGGTCACTTACAACCTCCATAAACAGACAACGGTGGGGTATTTTCTAAGCTATTTGTGCTGTTCTTTTGGAGGATTTGATGTTTGGTTTAGGTATTTTAAAGTCGAAATGAAAAAGTCGGGCACTGTCTCTTCCTCAGTCTGGGTTGTTAGTTAACTCATCATTCTTTTGTATTGTGAAAAAATATGCAGTGGTGGTTGGAATCCATGAATGGGATTTGGTGGAGGAATCTTTTAAACTTTTAGCCATGGTTTTGAGCTTTGCCAAAGTCTTTGGTTTTCTACTGTTCTTGAGGCTTTGATCGTCTTAGTTTTTTGTTCTTAAAAAATTGAAACATATCTCCAAACCCCTTTTTGGAGGCCTTAAATCCTAAAAAAAGCATATATTCTTAGTCTTATTTTATTTCCAATTGTTGTTTATCCAGGTATCATGATTGGATGTTCGTGAAACTGAAGTTGACTTCAGCTGGATCGAGCTTTTAAATCATTGGTTAGTTCATCGGTTCCTTTCGTTATTAACTACTAGTTTTATCTATGAACTCTCTATCCTTATCTGCGGTCAGTTCATTGATTTCCTTTGATGATTTGCAACAAAATTGCAAATTTTCTGCCTTTTAATGATTCTTTTCCAATCTTTACTGGTAATAGTTCAAACCCAGGCTCCCATTTGAATCATTCTTAGTTAAGGTATCTACGGAATCTGTTCTATCTGGAACCATTCATCTTGATTTAGTTCAATCAAATTGGTTGTTGAAGTGGAAGAAACTGATACTTTTTATCTTTTCAAAGCAAATCAAGCCCATAAATATACACTAAAAATGCTGGGGAGGGGGCGGGGGTGTGGGGAGACACTTGAAATCAACTAATTTAAATGACATTAACATACAAATAGCAATGGGAAAGAACATCAATCAAATTTGTTACTTGGAAATGCAGGATGCTGAAGCAAACACATCCTTTGGCCAATTCTAACCACTCCCGCCAAGAATAGCTTTGAACTTTTTCACCAGAACGGGGTCGAGGAAAGTGGTCTTCGACACCAAGTCAGTACTCAAGTCGTTGGCAAACAGAGCATAGTCAGTGATTTGGAGACCAGGGCTTGAGCTGCTAAATATAGGATAACCAACGGCAGTCACACCACCAGCATTAATCTGAAAATGTAGCAACCCTTGTGGGAATATCATAAGATCTCCCTTTTTAAGAGTCTTCACGAAGACAGCATTAGCGGAAGAGATAAAACCGGCCTGAATGATACCCTGCGTGACAAGCAGCAATTCTGAAGCTCCTGGGTGTGTGTGGAGTGGTATAACACCACCTGGGAGCAAGTCTAACCGAGCAGCCGAGAGACCGATGCCATTCACGCCTGGATACTGTTCCACAAACGCTGGGGTGACTGCAGCTTTGATTATACTTGTTATGTTTCCAGCACTGCGTAGGCCTGAGTACACAAAGTCATCTGCAGTCACGGCGCTCTTGCAGGCGTAGCCTGCTGGCCCTTGTGGACCTTTTAGATCAGCAACGCAGAAGTCTTGGACGGCTGCATTGGAAAGAGAGAAGAGGAGGACAATGACAAATAGGGAGTGAAACATTTTGGTTTCCTTTTCGGGAAATGGTATAGTTTCTTGATGAGTTCCGTCGAGTTTATATAGAAAGAACTCAATGGCTTCCCCTACTCCAAGTTGCACCAACATTCACTCAATGCTAGGATAGGAAGATTGATGAATGAATGAATGAGAGCCACTGCATCTGAGCATGTGGCTGCTAATGAAGATCAGATTATCAGAGAAAGAAACAGAATCTCTCTTTTATGAACTTTATGACACAATGTTTGGATATTCTTCTGCCCATCTAGGACGCATAATGTTGCAAGTAGGATAAAGAAGGAGATGAAGCAAATAGTGATGGATTAATAAGCTAAAATATGCTTACCATTCAGGATTAACACAAGGATATGCGATGAAAGTGGAGTGGACCAGCTGCACATGGGCAGTGGAAAATCTGTATAAGAAGCCAACTTTTAGGTTAGCTAAGGTCCAGTTCAAGACGTTCCATCAAGTCTCTCTGTATCACATGGCACCATGAATGGACTTGTGGCCTTGATGAACTCCCTGCCATGGCGTTCAGGCTGTCTGCATTTATTCAAGAAGGAACTTTTCCTGATCTGGAAAATTAACAGTTGAGATTACTACAATTCATGATCTTCCAAATCAAAACAGATGTGGGGTGGGAGAAGGGATGAAAAATCATATCTTCTATTCCATTTGTAATAATTGTGTTATGTGATCCTCCATACTTCGAACGACTCGAGATTGTAAATAAAGACTATCAATCATAAATTAAAAATGTCCTCCATGGTAACGACAATAACTCGAGGCCTATACTAATGACTGCCAAATATTTTGTACAATTAACCTTATGGCCATGTTTCCAGATAATGCATCTTGATATTATACAGCCTAAAAAAATGCTTTCGAAAAGTCGTATCTCTAAGAACCATCACACTCCACACAAAGTTCAGGTCCCCTCTAAAATGGCATCCCTCCTCTAAATCTCATATTATTGTTGTATCCCTGAACTGACTCCGGGGTAATTCACCGAATAGTCGAGATCTGCCAGCATTCTACCAGCATAAGTTTCAAACGTAGTTAATACATCAGAACCTCGTCATTTGCTGCAGTAGCTGCGAACCAGTTGTCTGTGACAATAGTTGTTCTGAGCTTGACGAAGGCCTCATTAGATTGTTGGTACCCATGGGCATTCCAACCCCTTGTCGGACCATGTCTTTAGGGCTATTTACGTTTGTTTCGACACGGGATGCTTCCTTCAGTATGCGTATCTGATGAAATCCCCAGAAGAATAGATTTGAGACAAATGTAAAAGAAGAAACTCCATACACTTGGAACAGATAATTCCAACTTACCATGTCCAGACGTTTCTTGTGAGTATCACTTGATGATAACTACAATATTCAAACTTCTTATGGTTAAACAAAAACGAAAATTTGAAAGATGAATTAAACAGAATGTGCTTATTTAGAGATAGAGCAAGAGGCTTTTCTTACATTTTTGTTACGATTCTTCCACTTGTCACTTGAATATCCAGGAACGTTTAACTGCCAATTCTTCTCTGCACATTATACACAATTTATGATTGTTAAAGCTTCGTCTAGTAACGGGATCTTGTGTTAAATTCGAGAGAAATGTAGAATAAGATAAGAGACAACCTAGACCATACAAAAGATAATCTACCTCATGAAAGAATTGATACCCAAAATCTAAATTTTAAATCAGAAAAGATGGACACATGCTGCTGATGCATAACCATTCAAGAAATCAAGTCAAAAGAAGACCATGAGGAGAAAGCAGTACACACCTAAGTGTAGCAATAAATCTTTGGATTCTAAAGTTGAAGATTTTCTGTGTTTTGCCAGATTGCATGAAAATGTGGTCACCTGTATTACAACAAAAAAAATCTCAGTTTTCACATGATATACCATCCAATCATACTGAGATGATGATAGCTTATGAATGAGCCATGACATCAACATGTTGTTTTTTTTCTTAGATGGAAACAAAAATCTTCATTGGAAGAATGAAAAAAGACTAATGGTTAAAAGATATGAACCTCCATGAAGGAATGAAAAAAAAAAAACAACTAAGAAGGATATAAATAACAATCCAACTAATACTAAATCCTCTTCAACAAAAAGCCTAAAATAATTAACCAATAAAAACGTCGAGATAAAGGCCAAAACAAGCTAGGCTCCCAAGCAAAAGAAACTGATAAAGGAAGGAAGAAATTCGACAGCTCAGAACAATCTTTCCACACATTAGATCTGACAACTGAGAACCAACTCAAATATGCCCAACTGCACAAAACTATAAACCACCAGAATAAACATCCTTGTAGTCTTCAAAATAACATCCCTTTAGTCTTCAGAAAAAAGAAAAGACTTCATAAAAACAATCGGTAACCTTCTAAAATTTGAAACTGAAACGATATTCAAGGCAACATGAGAGAAAAGAAAAGGGAAAGTTTTTTTTCGAACCTCAACACTACAAAGAAGTAATTCTCATTGCTGGACAATCGAGACTGATGAGTGAAACACAATTATATCCTAATTTGTGGTTACCAAGTGATTTTTTCGTTTGTAATCCACAAACTTCAATGAAGGAATGGAATTTGGGAGAAATTGAAAGATAATTTCCTAATGATGCTACTGATTCTAAAACTTCAATTGAATTCATTTTTATCAACAAATGAAAAAAGACTCTTTGAATACCTTTGCAAAAGAGTCTTTGATAGAAAATACATCAATTTCTATATCAACTAAATGTGCTTCAGATTCTTTATTGTTCCAACCAACATCAGATGCATCATCAAATTTAATATCATGAACTGGAGAGGAGATAAGATCCTTAGTGGAGGAAAAGCTACTGATACCTTTGGTTAAAGTGACATTTGAACCTGGAAGAGTGAGCACTAGAAGAATAAAAGAGTTAGTAGGTTATGAACGGGAGGAATTGAAGGATACTTCCTTATGTTGCTAATTCTGAAACTTCATCTGAGTTCATTTATCAACAACTGAAAAAGGACTTTCAAATGCTTATGCAAAAGTCTTCGGCAGAAAATACATCGATCTCTATGTCAACTAAATGTGCTTCAAATTCCTCACTACTCGTACAAACATTAGATGCTACATTAGATTCGATATCATGAACAATTGGAGAGGAGATAAGATCCTTAGTGGTGAGATATCTAATGATACATTAGGTGAAAGTGACATTTAAACCTAGAGGAGTGATCACTGAAGACGTAAAAGAGTTAGTAGGTTATGAAGGGGAATGTCGTATCTTTCGAGAGGAAGTGAGGAGTCAAACACAAACTTTTTCCATAATGTATAAATTAATCACTGATTTTTCAAGGATATCAGAAGAGTCTTTCGTCTGAGTGTGATAGAGAGGGTAGGCTTCAATAAGTCTATTTTTCATTTGAAGAAAAAGATGAACTGACTTTTGCAATTGATCATACAAAGGAATAAAATTCAACTCAACAGCTTTGACCATAAAATCCTTGGATGCAAAGTACCTTCATTAATCGGAACTTGATTTATTCTCTTTAAATCCACTAATTTTGTAAAATTAAGAATTGACAAGTCCCCATAATCAGTGCTTTGAGGGTCTGAATGATATATATCCCCAAATGAAAAGACAATTTCTCAAACTTCTCATATATTATCTCAATCTCAGCTGGAATGAAACCACAAATATTTTCCTTAACTTCAATTTCAGCCGTTGTACAATCAATAAAATTAAGAATCTAAGAATAGATATTGACCAAACCTCCAAAATGTAGACCAATTGCTTCAAAACAAGAACAATAAGGTAAAGGAAAATTCAATTTTGCCATCATATCTCTCAATAAACTTTCCATCAAACTCCAACTTAGAAGAATCAATACTCAATTTCAACAACGCCTTATCTGTCATGAAGGGGTTGATAGAAATATTGGATTAAACCTATAAAGCATTATGAATGTCCTTCCAAGAGTTGTGAACTAACAATGTAGAAACCACCAAGACAAAAATGAAGTTCATTTCCTCCCCTTCTTTTTGTTTCCCCTAACCCAAAAAGAAGAAGCATCTAACCTCATCTGTTGTACCTCTTCCATGTAACTTTTAGGGGTTGAATATCGTTGACTATCTTCGGCTGCAATATTTCTCCTTCCTCAACATCATTAGTAAAAATGAAAGTTGAGTGCTGATTTTTCTCAACTCTTGAGAGAAAATCTCTTATCATTTCCCAGAAAACTACACAACCTTTCTTTTCAACACCGAGTACTTGTAACTTATTGCTACCTCCAGAAGGTGGTCAAACTGCATATTCAAGCTTTCAACCTTGGGGAGACCAAAACTTGGCCGAACGAATTGTCTCGAAGACAACCCTGACTTGCTTAGAAAAATGTGTGCATTGGATTTTGCAACAATTCAATCAAAGAGTTTTCAATTTAAAACAGATGAGAGATAGAGCAAAAAATTTAGCTCGTTCTTCATGTCTTCAGAAAAAAAAATAAAAAAAAAAATACTGTCATTTTCATACCAAATGCAAAAGTAAAGGTAATGGATACAACTGCTCATAATCTCCTTGGAAATGGCTAGGTGACAGCAGAGAAGCAAAAGGGGAAGTTCAAGCCAAGGGAAAGAAGCTGCCACCAAGTCCTCGGAAAGGGTCCATCGAAGACAAACTGACGAGGAGGGGTGGCTAAGTTTTAAATAAGACAAAGGTAGGACAAAAATGAAGGGTGACAAAAGTGGGAGGGAGATGGCTAGCATGTAGTTGATGGAATCGATGAAGAGCATCGGCCAAAGGTGGCCAGTTGGACGTGCCTGCAGTTGTATGAGGCTGAACGGTGGTGGCTAGGGTCTTGGAAGGGGAAGGGTTAGGAGGAGAGAGCAAACCCAGAAAGGGGGGAATCAACATGAATTATAAGACAATAGAAGCTATATAATTAATCTACACAATAATGAAAATCGTTCACCAAAAGGACTGTAACACCACTTCACTTGATTTGTTTGTGAAAATGGAAAGGTATGGGACCATAATGAGAAAAAATCTTTCAATAAGACATCAGTGTTGTAGCAGTGAAGTATTGATTTTCTAATGTTCTCATAAGAGATGGTTCACAGGTTTTTGTTGGTGAGAAAGAA